TGGAGGGGGGGCAGCAAGGAAATGCTTAGCTGTTTTACTGGGTCCTGGATAAAACCTGAGGATTTGGTGCCAATGATTTAGAGTCTGCCTCTTGCTGGCTGCTTTCAGAGCTTAGTTCTTTTGGGGGATTGGGGGGGGGAAGCAGCTCCCAGAAACTCTGCTGGGATCTTGGGGGTGGTAGTCCTCTCTACTGGTTCCATTGACCATCTCTGGCAGCTTCCTCTGGGATACGCTTGGTGCACAAGGCACACCTCTGTCATGCCTCTCGGGCTGGGGGGGAGCCTCTCCTGGCCCTGCCCTTGGCGGCCTCGGGTCATTCCTGCCCTGCCAGATGTGTGACCCAATAGGTTGTGTAGGAGGCTTGTCTTGCTGTGGTCCAACCCATATCCAGGCAGCCTCCCTGCCACAGGCGGGAAAGGCCGCTTCCTGAATCTCCTCTCACCTGATACATGTCAGCTGATACATGATGCCATTGAGATGGTGAAATAGGATCAGGATCTGGAGAGATAGGAAAGGTCATGGGTGGTGCAAGGAAGAGAGTGAGTCATGGAAGTTAGATGGGTAAAGTCTCCTTGGAGAGGACTCCGGGGCCAATAAAATCTGAACAGGACAAGCTAGCGATGGAAGACCCACAAAGAATTGCAAGGGTCAAGAAGAGAGGGACATAGAATTTGCACTTCTCCTTCTGCACACCTTGCCATTCCTCCCCCTCCTTAGAATTCACCCCTCCTGTCTCTCCCCCCCACTTCATTAGGGGCTGGAGGCCAATCGCTGGGAAGCCTCGCTAGTCCAGACTTCCGTCCAGAGAGTGGCCAGCCAAAGGATGTGGAGCAAACGCCTCAGTCTGTCAATACGTCCTTCCAGTTATGGGTCTTGAATCACCTGCCGTTCATTTTCAGGGAATGACCCAACGGAGGGATGTGGTGGTTTTCAGAACCTCTTCCCCAATTAGGACAGATTAAGCTCTTTAAGGCCCAGACGTTTCAATGGCCTTTGGCTGAGCCTAATAAATGTTCCTTGCACTGACATGGAGATCGTTGGCAACCTTTGCTTTCTGCTAATTTTTGTTATTGTCCTTAGCGCCTCTTTGGAGAGAAGGGGAAGGAAAAAGGCCGATTTGAGCTCTTTGCCTCTGACCCGTTCAGAGGGAAGAACCTGCTTTTCCAGGATGCCACTCGCCACTTGCAACTGCTGGAAGAGGAAGCGGGCCTCAGCCATGTGCTGGGCCTTGACTACATCGCTCTCCTGCAGGGTTTAGGACATGAAGGTGGGAAAGGGGGAAAGGGGGGGGAAAGGGAGGGCAGCCCAGGAACTGGCCTGTGCACAGTGACCGCCTCCTGCCTCCTCTGATCTCTCTTTCTCTCTCTTCCTTTCTCTCCTCTGGTCCAGGGAGCTCCCTCTCCAACAGTCTGGTGCGCTGGTGTTGTATCAGCGATGCCGAACTTCGCAAGTGTGAGGAGTGGGCCCTCAGCGTCAGGTCAGACCCCTTGGTCTGTGTCCAGGCAGACTCTATGGTCAGCTGCATTACGATGATCAAGGTGAGCGTCCACCCCGCTGGGAAACTGGATTCTTTTTTTCTTTTTGGCAGAAGAAGAGTGAAAGTTCTGGGCTTGTTTAGCCATTGAGAAAAGGAAACTGAGGAGAGACAGGATAGCACTCTTCAAATACTGGAAAGGCTGCCATATAGAGGAGGGGCAGGATCTGTTCTCAGTGGGCTCAAAGAAAGCCAGATCTAGCCTGAATATTTGGAGAAGCCTGTGCTCCAAAAGAGTATCACTCAAAAACTAGAAATGGGTCATTTAAAACTACAACTCCCAGAATCCACCTGCCTGCCTGGCCACATTGGCTGGAAAGATCCAGAAAAGAGGAAAACAAGTCCAATCTCCAGTAGAGCTAAAATGAGTGGGTGAGCAGGCGGAGGGGCCTTTTTAAAATGGGCAGCCAGTCCCTGACCAGGCATTGTTTTAATGTGGCAGAAAAACGAGGCAGATGCTGTTACGCTGGACGCTACCCACGCCTATTTCGCAGAGAGATGTGCGCTGGTTCCTGTGGCCGCAGAATGTTACGGTGAGCTAGCTTCCCCACCCACCCCTGAGTTAGTTTCTATGAAATATAATGAGAGTATGGTTAATAATAAAATAGAAAAGAAATACACCTGGCAGTGGGGGAAGTCTACTAATAGACTTGGTAGTAAATGGGGGCAAAATTAAAGCAAGAAGTCTAGGGAAAGGATTATACTGGGGAAAACTGGAGTGCCCTGAACCTGCACAAGGATGCTAGAATATCTGACGGAAGTTATCCATAAGTTTTAGCCACCTCCTGTCAGACAAGAGGGTGTGCTTGCGAAAGTTGGGACCAGATGCCAGTTTGCGATAAAACCATCCATAAGCATGTACTCAGTTGAGGCTAGAATCAAGTTTTGGGACTTGTCCATTGTAGTTAATTTCCAGGAGGGGCACTCCACTTTCTCTTTAATTCCACGCCATTCTTGGAAAACAAGTGCTATGTCTAAACCAACCCCCCCCCCTTTCTATGTCATCTGTCTCTGTTTCACAGCAGATCTCCTACAGGAGGAAATCTCTGTTCTTAGACCTCAGCGCTGATTCACAAGACTGTGGCCTCCTGGAGTAATCCCTTGGAAGGAAGGGTGTGTGGCGAGGGTCTGCCATGTGATTCGATCTTCTCCCCAAATGTTGATCTTCAGGGCAAAACCTCTCCCTGGGGAGACGGTCCTGGGTGTCCACAAAGTGGTCTCAGACGTCATTCCTCTCCTTTTGGTGCCAATGTTCAAGGATCCCTTCCTTCCATTTTCTTTCCACAGGGGAAGAATGCGGTCCCACTCAAAGGGAAGAGGGAACAGAGAAGCCAGCCGATGCCGCAGGTAAGTGGGATTCCTAGAGAAGTATAGAAATATTTGCTATTTAGGGCAGTAGAGTGCCGTAGGATAGCTGGGGCATCACTTAAATGGGAATAATTGACCCAGTTATTCTAATCTTAGAACGGCAGAGATGTAAGGGGCCCTATGGATCGTAGAGTCCAGCCACCCTCAAGGAGGCATGTAGGGGAATCAAACTCCTGACCTCTGGCTCTACAGCCAGAGACGATCAACCATGTTGTAGCCTCAAAACTCTGTCCCCTGCAATGGCAGGATCTTCCCACCCCACAGCCAAGCTGGCCATGCCCTCTGTGAAGGGAAAGAGTCCAGCACTCTTGACCGCCCTGTCCTGACGCTGTGCTCTCGCCACACAGCCCTTCCTCCACTCTACGCAGTCGCTCTGGTGAAGAAGAACGGCAAGCACCTCAGCCTCTTCAGCCTGGGAGGGAAGCGGTCCTGCCACAGCTACGAGTACAGTCCTGCCGGGTGGCTGCTTCCTTCTCAGCACACCCTGGGAGCCCTGGGGAACGACTCCATCACCTGCAATCTCACCGCTGGTAAAGATTCCACCCAATAAGAAAAAGGGTGAAAAGATTCAGAAAGAGGGGTGGTGGAATGGGGCTGGGAGTATTCACAGGATCAGACCGAAGCCTCTGAATCGCACCACCAGCCCTGGAGAAGCTGGGATGCTGTGAGCTACAGTCCAAACTCTGCTCGGGTCATGGAACAGGAGGACCCTCGATCCTTTTGGTCTGTCGGTTCGCTTCAGGGCCAGGCTAGAGATGACGGCCGACTCGGCATCAGAGGACTGAACGTTACAGCAAGGATGTGTACAGCTTCCCTCATCACCACGTCTTGCAAATTAGCTTGCTGTTGACAAGGCAGGATAGAATAATTTATTTCAGCAGGTATACCAAAAACAAAGCCCCTTAAAACCTACGAGATCTATTTCTGGGTGAGCTTGCAAGGGCTGTAGTCTGTTAGACACAGCGAGTGCAATATTTAGCTGAGCCTCTGGTTTGTATGTATCACAGCAGGCCCCTTCCCCCCTTCTTCCAAGCTTACCAGGGCTTCTTCTGGAAGGGCTGCATGCCGGGCAGCAGCGGCAGAAACCTTTGCAAAGTCTGCCTTGGGCAAAAGGAGGCCGAGGGAGGCAAGGCGGCATCCAGGTGTGCGGCCAATCACAACGAACTCTACTATGGCAACTTGGGCGCCCTCAGGTGAGGAGGAAGGAAGAACGGGTGCTCAGGAGGGGCCAAAGGTTGAATCGCCTGCTGCCCCTCATTGAGCAGCAACCCATCCTTGAAGGGA